CCCCCCCCAAATCTCTATGTACAGCCTCAGTGTGCCGTAGCAGTACAAAAATATACACACGAACTCTACAGATCCCAGCTCAGTAGATCAAAACACAGCTACAAATCACAGTGCACAGGACAGCATCAGGCCCAAGGAGCGATGGGGTCCCCCTCCAAGAGAACGGCACGCCACGGGCGCACCCCAGCACGGGGTGGGGGGCGGATCATCCTCCCGTCTCATGGGGTCATTTCTGATCCAGCTGGCAGTACAGGTACATGGAAACCGCCATGGCCGCGATCTGGGGGTGGCAAGAGGCAAGTCAGCCCCCACCCCCCAAGAGTCCCCCCCTCCAGCATGGGTTTGGGTCACAGCCCACAGCATCCGTCCCCAGCACACACGACGAGGAAGAGCTGGCTGTGTCCAGGGAAGAAGGCTCAGTAGCCACCCTGCCTCCTCCAGCATGGGTTTGGGTCACAGCCCACAGCATCCGTCCCCAGCACACACGACGAGGAAGAGCTGGCTGTGTCCAGGGAAGAAGGCTCAGTAGCCACCCTGGGGCAGATGATGGCCCCCACCCAGGCTGGTCCCAGCCCCACCGCTCACCCCCAGGTACAAGGAGGAGGCAGCACAGCGATGCTCAGGCACTCACCTCCAAGGCAGCGATGCCGGCCGCCACGCCACCCACCACACCTGTGTTAGTCTTGATTTCTGCCAAGATCTGATCGAAACAGCCCTGCGGGAGGCAACCACGCAGGTGAGCAGGAGCAAGGGGCAGTGATGCCCCTAACCACTGGGTAACAGCTTCCCCGGAAGCGGAGGTATGGCTCTCCAGCCCAGAGCTGCACGGCCATGGAGAAGGTCTGGGGGCTTCAGCAGGCAACTCATCACAGTCACTTCTCAGGCCAAAGCACAGGGTGGAGGGGGAGGAAGGAGGCAGGGAAATCACCAAAAAGGCAGAGTGGTGCCTGGGCTCATGCTCAGCTCCAGGCACACCACCCCGCTGCAGAGCTCGCTTTAGGAGGGAGCGATGGTAGCAGCTTTGCTTGTCTCCACCAGGGACAAGCCAAGGCCACCACAGCATCGCCCAGGACTTCAAGCCCATGGGACCACCACGTCCAGAGCTGGGGCTGGAGCTACAGGACAGGTCTCCCTCCCCGTGCCAGGGCACACCCCAAACCAGGTTCTGCCAGAAGGCAAAGCCGCCGGCGCGTCCATACCGTCACATTTTTTTCTGCGGCCAGCGCGCCGGTGCAGGGCAGCTCGTCGTCGCAGCAGGGCAACGGGTAGGTTCCATGTTGCTGGTACCAGGGGGAGTCGGTGAAGTCTGTGTAGTTATTCAGGCCACAGCAATGGACCTAAGAGGGAGAGAGAGAGGATGGGGAAGAGCCTCCTGCAGGTCTCCCTCCTGGCTCAGACACCATCTGGACCCCGCTGCCCCATGGTGGGGGTCACCCAGCTCAGCCCAGCTCTGGGAGGGGTGCTCAAGGGCCTTCTCGGGACCAGGGTTTTGCCCCACACTCCAGCATGCACAGCTCTCACCCCAGCAACGGGACTTCTAGATCCTAAGTGGGTAGGTCCCAGGCACCTGGGAAGCTGATGGGGTGGTGATGGCTCTGCACATCCAGGACTGCGATGATGTCCCCACTCCCTTCCTGCTGGCCCACCCAGGTGTGCACCACCAGGCCTGTGCTAGGAGCATCCTGACCCATGGATGGGGGCCCCAGGGCTCAGCACACCTCCTTCATGGTGACATTCCAGATGTGCGTGAAACCGTCATCCTCCCCATACTTCTCCTTCAGCACAGGGGTCACCACGGCTGTCAGCAGCGTCTCCGCCTGGACAAAGAGTCAGAAAAACACCATCAGAGAAGGTTCTGGGGAGCACCACAGAGCCGAGAGCCCCCGTCTTGGTCTCAGCCCATGGGGAGGAGGCTAACTAGACCCAGCATGGCCACGAGCAAGCACGTCACACCCTGTCCCTTTGGCCCGAGGACAGCTTGGCCCCTTTCCCAATAACCAATGCTTTATGGCACCAAGGCTACTTAGGACAGTGAGTCATCTGATAAGCAGCACAACCGAGAGAGCCAGGAATGACGCTTGCCCTGCAGTTGACTTCTCCTGTGCCTAATGATGCAAGGTCCATGAGGGTGGAAGCAGTCACCTTTCTCCCCAGGTGGTTTCTCAAGTGCTTAAATAAGGGTTTGAGTTTGCTCAGCATTTGGGACTTCCTGCCCTGTGTGGCTCCTACCATCAGAGGTGGAGAGGTGTCAAGCCTCAGCTGGTGCTGGACTAAGGGGTTTGAAAGAAAGAAGCAGGCGAAACTTGTACCAAACCCTCATCTCTTTTGGGCAGTGGAAACCCCTGTTCCCTCCACTCTCCAGCCTGCCCATGTAGCTGGTGCCAGCAGGGACCAGCATCCCTTCCTCCTGCAGCAGTGCCCACCTCTCAGCTTCCCCAGCCCCTGGCAGCGCTGCCAGCCCCCCAGTCTCCTATTTTCCCAAGGGGCAGAACAAGTCCCAGATTAGCCCAGCCCGAGGCTCAGATATGGTACTCACAAAACCTGTGTAGACCAGAACCACCACGGCAGCAGCAATTTCGGCAATGAAGATGATCAGCACCACCGAGAAGAACTAGGATACAGCAAGAGGAGGGAGGTCAAAGCAACAGCTAGAGTCCACAGGGCCCCAAGGAACCCATCTGCTTTCCAAGGGCCGCAGGACCCTACTTCAGGGCTCAAGTCCTTCATTGCCTTCAGCTCTGCTCCAAGGCAGAAGCAGCACAACTCTGGGGGCCTCCAGCCCTCCACCTGCCTGGGGCTGACCTCTCCGGACATGCTCCAAGAGAGACCTCTGCTCAGCATCAGCTTCTGCTCACTTTCACCCTTGCCTGGGGCAGACTTGGGGTCCAGCACTGCCTTTCCAAGGTCCACCCAGCCTTCCACCACATGGGAAAATCTAAGGAGCACATCTCCACAGAGAAAACTATCCCTCAGATCTGCCCTACCAGAGACCCAGCTCAGATGAGGCTTGATAAGCAGATAAGTCAGGTTCATACCATCATCAGGAGACACTTGCTGTCCTTTTGGGCGCCGTAGCACCCAAGGAAGCCGATCACCAGCAGGACAGCACCAATGGCGATGAGGAAGTAGCTCACATACACAACCTGAAACACGCTAGACGAGAGCATCCCAAATATATCCAGGAATGACTGTTCATCCACTGTGACCCAGATGCCAACTCCCAGGAGGGTCCCGCCACTGAGCTGGGAGGAGAAAGACAGTGTCAGCTCCCAGGCAGGCCGAGGTCTGGGATCTGGGAAAGGTTCTGGCACAGGTGTTTCTCCCCGCTACAAGTTGTCGCCATAATGAAGCAAGACTTTGTGACCACTGAGGGCAGCTCAGGGTGTCGACGCTGCACACCTGGGGTGGCCAGATGGGTCACTACCCCGAAACACACCCCACCACCGGCACATTCCCCGCTGCGGTGTCGCAGCTGCCCCCTTCCCCAGCCCAAGGGGTTTCGGTGCCAGGAGCGGGACAGGAACCCCCATGGCAGGCAGCCAAGCTAGCAGTGCCACCAGCCACCCCCTGACCCCAGAGGGGCCCACATGCCCAGCTCAGACGCTGGCCACCATCCTGCTGGCCCCCCATCCAAGGAAGCGCCCCCCCCACCAAGGGGAGCAGCTGAGCAGCCCCCAGCCCCAGACGCTCACATGCTCCTGACAAGGTCAGCTCGAGGCTACTTCCAGCCTGCCCGAGCCCTGCTCTCCACCCGCTTAACCTTCCCCACCAGCCCCAGGAGCTTTCAGGAGGGAGCATTTCACCAGGGTGAGTGTGGAGGGTCTGCACTCCCCCTTCCCAAGCCTACATCCCACCGCACCCCCTTCCAGGTGGCTCCATTGCTCCTGCATAGCCAAAGTAGCTCTCAGGAGCTCCACCACCCTTTGCCCTGGGCAGAAGCAGGGGCCGTGAGTGCTCTAGAGATCCCCAACACCGCAGGTCACTGTCGGAGATGGAGCCCCCCAGGCAGGGACCCAGCAAACGCCCCTGCTCTGGGGTACACAACACCCCTCGCTGGAGCTTCAGCACAGGGAGGGACATGGGTGGCTGATGCAACAGCCACTGTCCCCAGAGCCCACCACGGTCCCCTGGACTTTGGCCAGAGCAGGGCATGCCACCGGAGCAAGAGACCCCCTCAAGCCCAGAGCTTCAGCCCTCAGTGCGAGGCCGGAGATCGGATCTCACACCCCACCGGGGTCCCACCTGCACCCAACCTCCCCCCTCCACCGCTCTGTCCCCGGCCGAGGGGGACATGGAGGAGCAGGAGAGTGCCCGGGCCAGGGTTGTCCCCAGGAGTTGCTCTCGCGGACCCCAGCCCCTCACCCCAGTATCCCAGGGCAGAGGAGGGGGCGGCCAGGCTCGGGCCC